GTTTTCCCCAGGAAGCAAGCCAATTGAAAGGCCAAGTTAATGCATGTTACTTCTTTGTGCACGTCGCACCTGCTGTTTACTGCCCTCACTTGGCACAAGTTAAACGTCAAACAGATGGTGACCCTGGCGCACAACTATTTGAGCCCGTTTAGATTGGCGGCCGGTCTCGGGTACGATTCTAGTTCTGGTAAGGTTGCTGCAGACCATAGAGTTTTTGTCAAGTGTGAGATCATGCCCGTCGAGCTGGTGTTGAGGCTCAGGCGGCTGCGATTTCTTCCCAGGCTTCTCAAATCGGCGCCTGCTTGTCTGCTGGCGATCCTGGACGAGCTAGCTTCAGTGCCGGAATCATGGTCCGCATTGTGTTGCGATGACCTGTTGTGGCTCAGCAGGCATGTGAATCTAGCCAGGGAATTCTTACCGTCAGGGCCCCCTGCGTGGTGGTTGTGGCTCCTGAGGTCGAGCAGCAACAAGTTTTGGAAGCGAATCTGCAAGCAAGCAGAATCGGCTGGCAGGGCCAAATTTTTGGACGATCAGCGTCATGAAGAATTCAAGGACGGGTGGCGAAAGTGTTGCATCGCCAAGGGTCTTGCGCTCCCGTCGTTTTTGCGTCCGCCGTCGGTTCTTGCCTTGTATCCTTGCTTGGAATACGGGGCGGTGTTGGCCACCAAGGGCGCGTGGGCCCCCCATCGCTCGAAGTGCCACCCCCACCTTGACCCCGCCCCCAGCTACGTTTCAGGCGCAGTGTGCATGGCTTGCGGTCTCAACTTCCACACGCGCCTAAGATTGCTCAAACACGTTCGGCATGGCTCATCGAAGTGCTTGGCGGACCTTATGGCCGTCATCCCACCGCTGAGCCCCGAACAGGTGATGGCGGCTAAGGCGGAGGACGCGGAGCTAGCACGCACGCTCTGAGAGAAAGGCCACTACGCGGAGTCAGCGCAGCTCCCGCCTGTCCTCGCGACTGGGCCTGGGCTGAGGGGGGCGGCTGCCTCCAAGGGCCTCCCCACACGCGCGCCGAGAATATCGTGTCAACCAGTGTGTATCCAGGAAGAGATGCCCAATCAGGCGGAGGTCCACCTGCCCGCGGCCCCTGGTGCTAAGTACATTATGATCCTCCGTGCAGCTCCCAGGAGTCAAGGCGACATCCAGGACAGAGCGGAGAAGTCCAGTGCCATAGTGGGCATGAATGTTTTTGTTTTGTTTCTTAATATTCTCGAGCTTGTCCAGAACTCCATTGAGGGATTTCATAAGGAGCTATTGTTCATTACGGATCTTATTCTAGCTGGGCGCGTTATTGGTCTCGTGACGGATGTTCTCTTTTCCTCGTGGGGCCCCGCCCCCCGCTGCAAAGCCAAGGGTGGTGAATGCAGGCCTTTAAGGAGCTGCGATGAGCCATGGGGGATTTCAGCCAGGTCGCCCTCGGAGTGGAAGCAGCTGGAGCTCGACAGTGCGTGCCTGCGGGCGGCACTGATGCTGGCGCTGTGTGCGGCGTCCTCGGGCCTGGCGACTCTGCTCATTTTAAACCCACTTGCTCCGCAAGTTAATTTGCCCTGCATTTTGAAGGTCCCCGAGGTCAGGTTCCTGTGCTCCCTGCAAGCAACGTCTCCGACCACCACGGCGAGATGTGTGCCCATTGGGGACCGTCAGTGCCTGTGCATGAATGCCGTGCCGATCCTGGCCCCTCCTGACAGCAGCCAGGTGGAATTCTACGTAGCTGCTGTTATCACGCAGGCAGCCTCACAACGCTGTGCCCCCACGCCTCCTGGGGATGCATGCCTAGATTCGTCAGTTGCCCATCTATATGCCCCGCTCGATTTGTATTGCGAGTCGGGTTGATGTTGGCCATTGCTGCTCTCCTCGTCCCCCGCTATACTTGCCGCCTATCTCACCGCTGACGTATGCATGTGTGGACACCTCAGACGTTGGTCCCTCAGGGCTGTGGGAAGAAAAGGAGGAGGAGGAGGAGGAGGAGGAGGAGGAGGAGGAGGAGGAGGAGGAGGAGGAGGAGAGGAGAGGAGGAGGAAGAGGAGGAGGAGGAGAGAGGAGGAGGGAGGAGGAGGAGGGGAGAGGAGGAGGAGAGGAGGAGGAGGAGAGGAGGAGGAGGAGGAGGAGAGGAGGAGGGAGGAGAGGAGGAGGAGGAGGAGGAGGAGGAGGAGGAGGAGGAGGAGGAGGAGGAGAGTAGGAGCAGGAGGAGGGGAGGAGGAGGGGCGGGCCTTGTCAGAAGGCTCGGCAGTCCCTGGCCTTCTGAGAAGTTCCTTGGAGCCTTTCCCGAAGACGCAGACGCCTTCTCGGAAGGCGCGATAGGGGGCCTCCGAGAGGTCCCGCCGCCTTCTGAGCAGGCCCTCCCCTCCTCGTTTCCCCCCCCTTCGCTCGCCGCCGACTCCTCGGGGAGGACCGCCGCGGCGCACCTGGGGCCGGCTGCCCCGCAGGAGCAGGAGCGCATGAGGCCGAACCGGTGCGCACGGCAGGGACGTCCTACAGTCGGCCCGCCCTGCCAAAGCAAGGGTTCGGGGTGGACAGACCTCCTACCCTGACACGTCGATTAAGGAATTGGCCGTTTTCGGTTCGCGAGAGGGCATCGCGGCACTCATTTTTGCGGGTCCAGGTCCGTCGGTTTCGGCCCCAGGCCGTTTTCACTAAGGGGAGGTGTACTAAAGGGAGATTTGTCCACCGCCGAAGGTACCCTCGTGTCCTGTGCCTCGCGACCCATGCTTCGTACATTCCTTATGAGGAAAAGCCGGGAGGCCTCGCGCGGTGCGTAATAGTAGTATGATCTAGTCCACTTGTCAGTTCCGTAAGCTATGGGTCGACGCTCGCGCGGCGATGTTCAGGAGCCAGTCCGACGTAAATCCGACGTAAATCCGAAGTAGTCCGACGTGAACCCGACGTAGATCCGACGTAGATCCGACGTACATCGGGTCTCGAGTTGCCGCTCGAGGCCTCCAGGACTTTCTTCATATAACACTCCTGCGGCAATGCGGCCCTCGGAAGGGTCCTTGGGAGCGCTTGGGAGCGCCTGAGAGCATGCTTGGAACGCCAGGGAACGCCCGGGAACGCCTGGGAGCGTGCCGGGAACGCCTGGGAGCGCTTGGGAACGCCTGGGAACGTGCCGAAAGCGCTGGGGAGCGCCTGGGAGCTCCTGGGAGCGCCTGGTAGCGCCTGGGAACGCTTGGGAGCGCCTGGGAGCGCCAGCGAGCGCGTGGGAGCGCCTGGGAACGCTTGGGAACGCCTGGGAGCTTCTCGCGTGTCCTGTCCAGTCCAGGCCGACTTGTGGCGAGGGCGAGGGCCCTCCTGCCCGGATCGGCGGGCAGCGGCAGCCGCGTCGGGAGAAGTCGAGCCTCGGCGGAGCTCGGCGGGCTCGTCGTGGGCCTGCTTTGATGACAGGCCTTTTTTCCACCGCCACCACCAGAAGCTGGAGGGGAGGGGGTCCTCCTCCTCCTCCTCTTCGTCGTCCTCCTCCTTCTCCTCGTCCTCCTCCTCCTCGTCCTTATCCTCCTCGTCCTCCTCCTTCCCCCCTCCAACTTATGGTGGTGGTGGTGGAAAACAGGCCCATCATTGGAGACGTCCAAGTCCCAGATTTCGGAAGCCGAAGGCGAATCGGAATCGGAGCTGCAGGCCATCGAGGTCGGCATCGAGTCGGAGGCATCGACGTGAGCTCCGAAAGAGCGGCCGAAAACCGCCCTTCCGCCGAGAGAGGGGTCGGCGTCACTCCAACATACTAATTACTGATACTATGCGTGCGTCGCCCCCCCTGGGGCGACGCGCGCATGAATCATATGCGTCGTGGCAGGCGTTTTCTGGCCACACCGCTCGGGGAACGGTATACTGCAAGGTGGGTATACTAAGTGCTTTGGTCGGACGCGCGCCTCCAGGGAGGACACACGGCACCAGCATGTCTTTGCGCGTCTCCGGATGGGGGGGGGGGGGCGCATGACTGGGGGGCGGGGGCGGCCTCGCAGGTCGCGGGGCCTGCCGCTGCGCGGGCGGTGACCCCCCCCCCAGGGCGGCCGCGCCCCGACTAGGAGACCACATGCGAACCCTGCCCTCCCCTTTACAGATCGTGGGGGGTAGGGGTAGGGTCCGCATGTGGCCCCCCACCGACGGGGGAGGGATCCGGTGAAGGGAATTTCCCTTCGTTGGAATCACGGCGCTGTTCAATTTCGCTTTGGCCGACGCGCTGGGGGAAGAGGGCCCACGACAAGGAGGGGGGCGGCGACGGGCCCGGTGAAATTTGGAACGCAGGGAAACTTGGCATCGCTCGGACGTGTGCATTTTTTCTCGGCGAGAACCATCGAGGACCATCCTGGACCATTGAGCAAGAAAAACGCACGAAACCGAAAAATGCACGGGAATTGGACGTCCGAGCGACTGCAAGGAAAGGAGCCGCCAGAGGCGAGGACTGACGAATGACGAAGAGGACGACTCGAACGGACAAGCCCCTCACACACGCCGACGGGGTCGGCGGACGCCGACAGGGTCGACGTGCTAGAAATTGGGCTCTGCAATATTCTAGGATTTCCAGTATTGCCAGGACGCAGCAGTCATGTGTTCGAGTCTCCCGAAGGGTTTTGTGGTACAAATTCAGATGGTCAGGACGCAACAATCACATTGATTCGCAACTCTGAAATCCCAAGAATTGTGCTTTGGCACGATAGAGGATATCTCAGATGGTTGTCTTCCAACGGGGCCCTTCCAGAATGAATAACAAGTCTTCTAGGGCCCTGTGTAGAGGGAGCTTGGAGGGAGGGCTTATTGCAGCATCGCTGATGGGTCTTCGGTTTACACTGGTCCTCCTTCTCTTCCTCCTCCTCCTCCCTCCTCTCCTCCTCCTCCCTCCCTCCTCCCTCCTCCCTCCCTCCTCCTCCTCCTCCTCCTTCTCCTCCCCTCCTCCTCTCCTCCTCCTCCTCCTCCCACCTCCTCCCTCCTCCTCCCTCCTCCCTCCTCCCTCCTCCCTCCTCTCTCCTCCCTCCTCCCTCCTCCCTCCTCCCCCCCCCCGCCAGTTCGACCCCCGCGAGCAGCCCCTGCACCTCTGGGTGCGCCGCGCCCTCGGCCGCTGGCCCGCGACCGCGGACGCCCGGAGGCCCGGCCCCGCACGGCCCCGCCCCGCCGCAGGATGCCTCTCAGGGGCAGCAATGGGAGGGGCTCCTCCTCCTCCTCCTCCTCCTCCTCCTCCTCCTCCTCTCCTCCTCCTCCTCCTCCTCCTCCTCCTCCCCTCCTCCTCCTCCCCCTCCTCCTCCTACTCCTCCTCCTCCTCCTCCTCATCATCATCAGTTCCTCCTCCTCATCATCCTCCTCCTCCCTCCTCCTCCTCCTCCCTCCTCCACCCTCCTCCTCCTCCTCCTCCTCCTCCTCCTCCTCCTCCTCCTCCTCCTCCTCCTCTCCAGGATAGGCATAGGGTTAAGTCGGGCATGTCCCTCCACAGGGGAAATTTCGAGGGCGTAGAAAACGCCCCTGCCCTGGTTCACGGGGCGCTGTGCGCTGCACCTCCTGTGGGCTGACAGGGTAAACCCTGCACATCCAGCGTGTCGTGCGGCCTCCTGGCGGCTCTCTGGCCTTTAGGTTTACAGGCCACGCACTTGTAACCCAGGGTAGGGGCGTTCTCGCACCCCTCGAGAATATTCAAAAATATGTGTTTTTCCCAACCATCCTGTGGTGTTGGGTCCTCGTTTTGAAGAGACGGTGCCCCGCGTTCCTCTCCTCTCCTCTCCTCTCCTCTCCTCTCCTCTCCTCCTCTCTCCTCCTCTCCTCCCTCCTCTTCCTCTCCTCTCCTGTCCCTCTCCTCTCCTCTCCTCTCCTCTCCTCTCCTCTCCTCCCTTCTCCTCTCCTCTCCTCTCCTCTCCTCCCTCCTCCCCTCCCTCCTCTCTCCTCCTCCTCCTCCTCCTCCTCCTTCCTCCTCCTCCTCCTCCCTCCTACTCATCCCTCCTCCCCCTTCTCCCTGCGTTTCACCCACCCAGTAAAGCGTTTCGTAGCCCCATAGGAGCTCCGCCGAAGGCCCCAGTGGCCCCCCCCCGCATCTTCACCACACCCCTTCGGCACACCCCTCCCGTTTCGTGGCCCCCATAGGAGGTCCGCCCCCCCCCCGAAAAGTGCCCCCCAGTGCCCGGCCCGCCATGCGTCACCCACACACCATTTCGGCACAACCCCTCACAACGTTTCGTAGCCCCATAGGAGCTCCACCGAAGGCCCCAGTACCCGCGCCCGCATGCGTCACGCACACCCAATTCGGCACACCCCTCACACGTTTCGTGGCTCCATAGGGAGCTCCACCGAAGGCCCCAGTGCCCGCGGCCGCATGCGTCACCCACACCCATTTCGGCACACTCCTCACACGTTTCGTGGCTCCATAGGAGCTCCACCGAAGGCCCCAGTGCCCGCGGCCGCATGCGTCCCCCACACCCATTTCGGCACACCCCACACACGTTTCGTGGCTCCATAGGGAGCTCCACCGAAGGCCCCAGTGCCCGCGGCCGCATGCGTCCCCCACACCCATTTCGGCACACCCCTCACACGTTTCGTGGCTCCATAGGGAGCTCCACCGAAGGCCCCAGTGCCCGCGGCCGCATGCGTCACCCACACCAATTTCGGCACACCCCTCACACGTTTCGTGGCTCCATAGGGAGCTCCACCGAAGGCCCCAGTGGCCGCGGCCGCATGCGTCACCCAAACCCATTTCGGCACACCCCTCACACGTTTCGTGGCTCCATAGGGAGCTCCACCGAAGGCCCCAGTGCCCGCCGCCCGCAAATGCGCACCACGCCCACGTTGGGCACACCCCTAACACTTTTCTGGCACCATAGGGAAAGCTCCACCGAAGGCCCCAGTGTCCGCGCCCCGCATGCGTCAGCCACACCCATTTCGGCACGCCCCTCACTAAACGTTTCGTGCTCCATTAGGGAGCTCCACCGGAACGGCCCGCATAGTGGGCCGCCCCATGCTCACCGCACACCCATTTCGGTCACAACCACCCCTCACCTACGTTTCGTGGCCCATTAGGGAGCTTCCACCGAAGGCCCCAGGCCCGCGGCCGCATGCGTCCCCCACACCCATTTCGGCACACCCCTCACACGTTTCGTGGCTCCATAAGGGAACTCCACCGAAGGCCCCAGTGCCCGCGGCCGCATGCGTCCCCCACACCCATTTCGGCACACCCCTCACACGTTTCGTGGCTCCATAGGGAGCTCCACCGAAGGCCCCAGTGCCCGCGCCCTCATGCGTCAGCCACACCCATTTCGGCACACCCCTCACACGTTTCGTGGCTCCATAGGGAGCTCCACCGAAGGCCCCAGTCCACCGCCGCCATGCGTCAGCCACACCCCCCCAAAAAAAACAAAAATTTTTTTTTCCGGCACTCGGCCCTGGGGGTGGGCACGCGTTCCGTGGCCCCATAGGGAGCTCCGCCGAAGGTCCCAGTGGGAGTGCCCGCATGCGTCCCGCACGCCCATTTCGGCACACCCCTCACACTTTTCGTGGCCCCATAGGGAGCTCCACCGAAGGCCCCAGTGCCCGCGCCCGCATGCGTCACCCACACCCATTTCGGCACACCCCTCGTACGTTTCGTGGCCCCGTAGGGGGCTCCACCGAGAAGATATTCACAATTGCAGTATTCACAATTGCATATGGTTGGGTCCTTCGCCAGGATAATTTTTATGTTTCGACTACCTTCTTTACTCGTCGTCCAAAATCCGCCTGTAGGACCGTGCATGGACAATATATTCGAACCCTTACACATTCGAGGGAGATTCTAAACCACCCCCGCGCCCCGACATCAATGTTGATCTCAGTAAAGGTGGTGCTTTGGGGTTCGAATATTTCTGTCCACTCTCGCCCCCCCCGTCGCCACGCCATCAATATTAATTTTGGGGGGTCTGGGGGGCATCTTGGGCCACAGGGTTCGAATATAATGTCCACGTACTGGAGGACACACCCGACCTAGGGAGAGGCATAGGGGGGGATGCTTCGACCTCGAATCGCCCAGTGATCGCTGATAGGGGCCCGATAGCCCCAACCTGCACAGGAAGGTGCGGATTCACTATCCAGGGCCTATCGCCGATCTACCGGCGATGTATATATCGCCGATTCCAGGTCGATGCATCCCCCCTATGCCACTCCCCCCCTCTCGTTGTCCCTCCGCCTCGCGCCTGCCCGAGAGGCGCGCCTGCCTCGGTACCGTCGAAACCGATGGTCGCCAGAAAAGGAAACCCCAGACCCCCTCGAGTCATGACAAAATCACGACGCGAGGTGTTTTGTTGTTGTTGTTGTTGTTGTTGTTGTTGAACATTATTTATTCTAAAGAATAATTATTGTTGGGCCCCCTGGTGCGCGGCCCCCTCGCCGCGCCTAGGCCGCAGCCACATTTTCATCATTTTCGTGAGGAAGTCTCAGGCAAAACGTGGGTGTCCGGATCCGGTTGTTTTGTTGTCCCCCGTTTTCCCTTGCAAAAAATAAGCTAAAGTGGATATTTTTTGTTCTAAAACCTTAGTGTTCGTAGCGATTTTAACATGAAAACATAAAAAAAACAATGGTTTGTTCAAAACAAGTGACAACATTTCATCCCGCGCGCTCTTGCGGATTTGTAGGAAACCCAACACTTTTTAAACATTTCTGTCAAACGGGCTTTTGCGAGCAACTTGTTCACGTGCTTCGAACTTCTCCAACAACCGTTGCGCACCTGCCAGGGCCATCATCCCTGTCAAATAATACCATGCGGGACACATTCGTTTTTTCTTCGCGCGCGCACGCCGAAATCTTCAAAAACCATTGGGTTTCTTAGGAATTTTAGCACCGCGCAACAGGTGTCCAGTGTTGGAACAGGGGGAAAAGTCGTATACTAAGCTAGCGTCCAGAAAATGTTACCACAACAAGTCACTGTACCCATGCGCCAGTGTAGTAGCCACGGTCGTCCGCAGGCCACGAAGTGAAGTGTCCGAACGTCATAGGGCGGGAAGCTGGGTGTGGGTGGTGGCGAAGAGTCGTTTGGAAATGTGGTAGAGCTTGAACCGGCCCCCCCACAAAGTGGGGGGATTGGCGGGCGTCGTATGAAAACCCTGGCACTGGTGAGAACGGAGTGTCCCCACGTGCTAGTAATTGTTGTTGTTGTTGTTGTTGTTGTTGAACATTATTTATTCTAAAGAATAATTATTGTTGGGCCCCCTGGTGCGCGCCCCCCCTGCGCCGCCTAGGCCGCAGCTACATTTTCATCACTTTCGTGAGGAAGCCTCAGGTAATTCGATGTGATCAAGATCCGGTTGTTTTGTTCCCCCCCGCTTTCCCTTGCCAAAAACACTATAAAATGACATTTCTTGTTCTAATATAATCAAATTTCAAGAATCCCTTTGCAAAAAATAAGGTAAAGTGGACATTCGCGCGCGCAAGACGAAATCCTTCCAAAAGCTTAGTGTTCGGAGCGATTTTAACATAAAAACATCAAAAAACCAATGGTTTTTTCAACAAAAAAATGTCAAAATCTCATCCCGCGCGCTCTTGCGGATTCGTAGGAAACCCAACACTTTTTGAAACATTTCTGTCAAACGGGCTTTTGCGAGCAACTTTTTCGAACTTCTGCGACAACGGTTGCGCACCTGCCAGGGCCATCATCCCTGTCAAATAATACCATGCGGGACACATTCGTTTTTTCTTCGCGCGCGCACGCCGAAATCTCCAAAAAACCATTGGGCTTCTTAAGAATTTTAGCACCGCGCATCATAAAATCACACGAATCGCACCGTAGGTCCTCGAAAAACACCTGCACGACTTTTCAAAATTTCTACCCGCGCGCGCGGTCCGAATCCTAAAAAAAACCAATGGTTTTCCAACATTTATGTTACATGAGCTCGCGCGAGCTACTTTCGCACGCTCTTGCAACGGGGTTCGCGCGCCTGCCAGGGGCCACAATCCCTTGCGGTTGCGCCATAGGTTGCCCTCGGCCGCCGAGAATAAAACGTCCCCCTATTGGTTGCGCCATAGGTTGCGCCCCTCCTCTCTCTTCTCTCCTTTCCTCCTTGTCCTGCTCCTCCTCCTCCTCCTCCTCCGGCGGGGGGCGTGAGGATCCGGCATCGCTCACAACCATCGGGACAACCATCG